TGTGGTAGTCCCTAAAACAATTCTCTCTCCTACAAAATGCTGGTGCAAATATCAAGAAATACCAGGTCTTTCCCATGGCCTTCTCTCTCCACCAAAAACACAATCCAAGACTCAAACTAACTCTCTCTTGATTATAAGTTTCAACTTCAGAGCTGTTGGCTTAACAACTCAAGTTTTAACAAAGTGCTAAGACAAGGAAGTCGAAAGACAATGAACCTTGACAACATAATATTGAAAACACTGAATAGGTTCAGTTTTCAAAGTACAGAGAGCTTGATTATTCTTAAGTGAGACGAAGAGTGTCCTCCTTCCACTCATTGGTCAATTCAGTGAGCAAAGGAAAAGTAAAAATAAACTTGGTTAATATTTTCAAACAAAATAGCCATCTATTACTAACCACTAACTGACCTGTTAAAGACTGACAGCTCCATCCAAAAAACTAATTAGCTGTGAATATAATCTGTTTCCACTAATAATTTGTCATTAACTCTTTAAGATATAAAGATTTTGATGATCTATAATTTAATCATAAATTAATAAGAATTCTATAATAGGTTTTTGGTTTATGGCTGTTAATTTTAATACTAATATTTATCATTATATGAGAAAATTTAGTTGTAAAGGACTTTTCTAAAAATGTATGGACCCCTGTCACTTTCTGGTCCAACGTGGCAGGAGCTTAGAAGTGCCACCCCATCCTAACAACAAGTAAAAGCTAAACAAATGGAAAAAATCAACTCTTAGATACATCAGAGATATGAGGTCACGTGGCAAACCACTGCTCAGAAATTAAAGAGACAGAGAGGCAGATACAGAGAATCACAATCTACCAGAACAGAAGCCTATGAACAGAAGCCTCTGTGGGAACCAGTGCCAGGGTAGGCAAACCTGAACTGTAATTGATAAATTGCTGGAGGCTCAGTGTGGACAAGCCTGACACTCAGGGGTCCAGTCCTAGTTGGCGGAAGCCCACACTTTTGTGAGTTTTACCTGTATGAGTTCTACAAGGTTCTCACATTGAAGGTATGAGAAAAATCCTCTCACACTTCTGGCATGACAAGGGGAAAAGTAACCATTTTGAAATACGCTATAGCATACTGTTCTTTTTAACAAGGTCTGCTCTCAAGAGAACTGTTTTATGGAGCTGAACCTGCCAGGGTTTTATCAGAGACGAACCTAACTGAGAGAAGGGAAATATTCAACTCTAGCCCCCTCTAGCCATCCTGTCCCACCTGAGAGGAGAAAAAACTGAGAAGCACTGGTGAAGTTCACAGTCCAGGGGCACAGGCTCACTGAAAGGCTGAGACCTAAATCGTGGGACTGCCGAGCTCCCCTCACCCCACACCTCACCACCACATTACTAAAGGCCAATTTATGGCACTTTCATTTCCCCAGTGTATCATGTTCATCTTTCAAAAAAATTACAAGGCATACTAAAAGGCAAAAAAACAATTTGAAGAGATTCAAAAGCATCAGAAATAAAGTCAGATATGGCAGAAATGTTGGAATTATCAGACTGGGAATTTTTTTAAAACCTATGATTAAAATGCTAAGGGATTTAATGGAAAAAGTAGACACAAAAATGCAAAAAGAGTTGGATAATATAAGCAGAGATGGAAATTCTATGAAAGAATAAAAAAGAAATGCTAGAGATCAAAAACACTATAACAAAAATGAAGAATGTCTTTGATGGGCTTATTAGTAGACTGGACACAGCTGAGGAAAAAATCTCTAGGCTTCAAGATATATCAATAGAAAATTCCAAAACTAAAAATAAAGAAAAAAGAGACTGGGAAACACAAAACAGAAAGTCCAAGAACTATGAGACAACTAAAAATGATGCAACATACCTCTAGTGGGAATACCAGAAGGAGGAAAAAGAGAGAAAGGAACAGAAGAAACATTTGAAGGAATAATGACCAAGAATTTCCCCAAATTAATGCCAGACACCAAACCACAATCCGAGAAACTCAGAGAACACCAAACAGGATAAATGTCAAAAAAATCTATACCAAGGCATATCATATTCCAACTTCAGAAAAATCAAAGATAAAGGAAAAAATCCTGAAAGAAATCAGTAGAAAAACACATCTTACACATAGAAGGGGAAGAGTAAATATATCTAACTTCTCCTCAGAAACTGTTGAAGCAAGACGAGACTAGAGCACAATGTTCAGAGTATTGAGGAAAACACCCACCAACTTAGAATTCTGTATCGAGAAATTATTCTTCAAAAGTGAAGGACAAATAAAGAAATAAAAATTGAGAGAATTTGATGCCAGTAGACCTGCCTTGCAGGAAATGGTGAAAGAAGTTCTTTAGAAGGAAGGAAAATAATATAGGTCAGAAATTCAGTTACATAAAGAAAGGAAAGGCACAGGAAAAGGAATAAATAAAGGTAAAATAAAAGCTTTAATTTTTCTTTTTCTTAATTGATCTAACAAATAACAGTTTGTTCAAAATAATAGCAACAATGTATTTAATTATATATATAATTGTGTATATATATATACATGTGTGTGTATATGTATACATATATATGTTTATATATTAGTGAAATGAATGATAATAATATAAGAGACAGGAGGAAGGAATTAGGATTATTTTGTTATCATAAGATACTTGAACTACCTGTGAAGCAGTATAGTGTTATTTGAAAGTGGACTCAGCTTAGTTGTATATGTGTACTGCAAATTCTAGAACAACCACTGAAATAAATGAAAAAAAAGAATTGATATGCTACAAAAAGAGAGGAAATGGAATCATGTAAAATTCTCAATTGAAATCACAAAAGGCAGAAAAAGTGTGGAAGACAAAAATAGGAACAAAGAACAAGGGTAATAAATAGAAAACAGTAAAAAATATGGTATATTAATCCAAATTTATCAATAATCACATTAAATGTCAATGGTCTAAATACACCAATTAAAAGACAGAGATTATCAGAAAGGATAAAAAACAATATAGATACAGAAATCCTCAACAAAATATTAGTAGATAGAATACAACAATGTATAAAACGAAGTATACATCATGACCAAGTAGGATTTATCCCAGGTATGCAAGGCTGAGATAAAGTGAAAATCAATTAATATAATTCATCACATCAACAGGCTAAAGAAGAACAATTACATGATTATATCAATAGATGCAGAAAAAGCATATATCAAAATCCAACACCAATTCATGACAAAAATTCTTAGCAAACTAGGAATAGAGGGAAATCCTCTCAACTTGATAAAGAACATCAACAAAAAACCTACATCTAACATCATATATATGATGAGAAACTTGAAATTTTCCCACTAATATTAGGTACAGCGCAAGGATTTCTCCTCTTACCACTCCTTTCCAACATCATATAGAAGTTCTAGCTAATGAAAATATACAAGAAAAGGAAATAAAAGGTATACATATTGGGAAGAAAGAAATAAAACTGTCTTGGTTCACAGATGACATAATTGTCTAGGTAGAAAATCCAAAGGCATCAACAAAAACTAAGTGATCGTAGCAAGGTTGCAGGATACAAGGTTAATATACAGAAGTCAATCAGCAATATACTATTTCCTATATATCAGCAATAAACAAGTAGAATTTGAAATTAAAGATACATTACCATTCATATTAGTATCCCCCAAAATGAAATACTTAGATATAAATCTAACAAAATATGTATAAGATCTATATGAGGAAAACTACAAAAGAGGAATTAAATCCATGGAGAGATATTCCATGTTCATGAACAGGAAGACACTATTTTCAAGATATCAGTTCTTCCCATTTTGATCTATAGGTTCAATGGAATTCTAATCTAAATCCCAGAGAGTTACTTTGTGGATATCAACAAACTGACTGTAAAGTTTATGTGGAGAGACAAAAGTCCCAGAAGTGCCAATACAATATTAAAAGAGAAGAACAAAGTTGTAGGACTGACACTACCCAGCTTCAAGACTCGCTATAAAGCTATAGCAATCAAGGCAGTGTGGTATGGCAAAAAAGTGGACAAATAGATCAATGGAATAGAATAGAAAGCCCCAAAATAGACCAATATATAGTCAACTGATCTCAGACAAAGGAGCAAAGGTAACACACTGGAGCAAAGATAGTCTTTTTAACACACAGTGCTGGAAAAACTGAATCCACCTGCAAAAAAATGAATCTAGACATACTCTTCACAAAATCAAATAGATCATAAACCTAAATTTAAAATGCAAAACTATAAGACTCCTAGAAGATGACATAGAAGAAAATGTATTCTGACTTTAGGTATGGCAATAACTTTTTAGATGCAAGAGAGGTAAGATCCATGAAAGGAAAAATTGATAAATTGGACTTCATTAAAAATTTAAAAACTTCTGCTCTGTGAAAGAGAATATCAAGAGAATGAGAAGAAAGGACACGGACTGGGAGAAAAGATTTGCAAAAGATATATCTGATAAAGAACTGTTATCCAAATATACAAAGAACTCTTAGAAGTCAACAATAAGAAAATAAACAACCCACTAAAAAAATGGGCCAAAGACTTAATAGACACTTCACGAAAGAAGATATACAGATGGCAAATAAACATATGAAACATCATACGTCATCAGGGAAATGCAAATTAAAATAACAGTGAGACACCGTTATACACCTATTAGAGGGGCCACAATCCAAAACAGTGACAGCTGGTGAGGAAACGGAGCGACTGGAGCGCTCATTCATTGCTGGCTGGAATGCAAAATGGTGCAGCCACTTTGGAAGACGGGTGGTTTCTTACAAAACTAAAGGTACTCTTACCATATGCTTCAGCATCTGCACTCTGATATTTTCCCAAATGAGTTGAAAACTTATGTCCACACAAAAACCTGCACATAAATGTTTACAGCAGCTTTACTTATAATTGTCAGAACTTGAAAGCAACTAAGACGTCCTTCAGTCAGTGAATGGCTAATTCACTGAGGTATATCTATACAATGGAATATTATTCAGCGCTAAAAAGAAATGAGCTATTAAGGCATGTAAAAAGTTGGAGGAAACTGAAATGCATATTACTAAGTGAAAGAAGCCAATCCGAAACAGCTATATACTGTATGCTTCCAACTATATGCTATTCTGTCAGAAGCAAAACTACAGAGATGTTAAAAAGGTCACTGGTTGCCGGGAGTTGGTGGGTGAGAGGAATGAACAGACAGAGCACAGAGGAATTTTAGGACAGTAAAACTATTCTATATGGCACTACAATGGTGCATACATGTCCTTACGCGTTTGTCCAAACCTATAGAATGTACAACACCAAGAGTGAACCCTAATGTGAACTATGGGCTTTGGATGACAATGACATGTCATTATAGGTTCATTGATTGCAGCAAATGTACTACTGTGCTGTGGGATGCCAATATTGGGGGAGATTGTGCATGTGGGGGGTTGGGGGTAATGAGAACTCTCTGTACTTTCCACTCAGTTTTGCTGTGAACCTAAAGCTGCTCTAAAAAATAAAGTTTATAAATTTTTAAAAGACATGGACCCTTGCATTAATGGACTTATGGGGACCCACTAATGAGAGAATAATTAAGTAAATAATCGTATATATAGCCATTGAAGGCAAATTTTAAAAAGAATTTTCTGTGCTTTCTAAATTTTCTTAAATGAAAATGTATTATTTTAACAGTGAAAAAAATTTATGTAAGAAGTCCCCTCCCAGTTTCAAGATATGTCTCACGTAGTCTATCTAAAATAGTCACAGACTTTAGTTATTCTCTATCCTATCATCTTGTTCAAATCTTCTTCATAGCACATGTTATCATAAGAAATTATTTTATTTGTTAACTTCTTAATTATTTGTGTCTCCCATTCTCCCAGGAGAATGAAGAACTTACCTCTCCTGTTCAATGTGTTTCCATACACTAGACTGCAGACTAAAGCAGAGTGGGCATATAGTAATCATTTATTGAAAAAAATAAATGAATTGACTGCTCACTTATCACATTCTCTCATAATTATATTTGATATGTACTCTCCATTCTGCAATCCTGCCCTCTCTAACATAAGTCCCATGAGGGTAGGGACTGTGTCATCTTCATTCTTCATACTCCCCAGAGCACTGTGCCTGATCCACAGCAGACACTCAGTAAACTGTTGTTCTGAATGAATGAATGAAGAATGAATGAGCCTAAAGTTTGGTTACTAATGCACATGCCCTTTTCCCTATACCATAATGCCTAAATTCATCCTTTGAGAAGTTAACAGCAATTCTAAGGTTAAACAGAGTTCTGCAGTGAAACAGACATCATAAATCTTGGTTTAAAAGAGGTTACAATTATATTTGGCATAGTACTTTGGGAGTCTTCAGTGTAAAGGTGCATTGTAAATCTTCAACAGGGGGTACAGCGTGTTAGGTAGCTTATTCTCTGGACAGGTCCTCTATGTTAGGCAGCCTACTAGATTATGGAACAGTCAGCCTGCTCAGTATGAAATTAGTGTCAATTTATTCATTATCTTCACTGTCAAATCTTGTTGAGCCTTTAATGCTCACATTGAATTTTTGGAGATGTCTTTATACCAGCTGGGAAAAGAGATATTAACCGCATTCTTCAGCTTTTCGTTATGGTATTAGTCAGATAGTAAACCATGCTCTCCTTTGGTCTTAGAGTGGCGCCTTCCCGAGCTGCCACCAGCTGCACTAGACCCTTCGCTTCCCTTGTGCCTCTCCAGCTTCCTCTGCGAGACTCTGGGGGGGGGGGTGAGTGCGGCAGGGGCCCAGGCTTTGCCATCAGTCTTTTGATTCAAACTTCAGTTCCTTCTTTTTAAAATGTAGATAATAGTAATTATTTCATGCTTATTGTGAGGAGTAAACTTAAGCCATGATACAGTACTATATTTATACTAAAAAAATGTGATTTTCTTCCTTTTCAGTTTCATTTGGGGCAGTTAACTTAAGGGCACAGAGATAAGATCGGATTTGTGGAGGAGCCTGTAAAAAGTATCCAACAACAACCAATCCTCATTATTACATGCTCTTCCTCTCATGTTCTTATCAAGTTCATGATAACCCACATCCAGCCTGCAGTTCAGAAACAGGCTTAACAGCTCCCAAGTGAGCGTCCAGCCAGTCTCAAAGTGGGAATGCCCACTCAAGGGCAGTGTCTTCAGACTCCTGATCTGTTACCATGTTCAAGTGCAACCTAGCTCCATGACTTTCCCCATCATGCCCTATAATTATTACCTGCAAGTGAAGAATGAACCCAGCTTGAGGAATAAGATACTTAAAAGGATTATAGGTTTTCACTTAAAATAAATAGACAATTCAAATAATTCAAGCTAACTGATTATCTTGAACATTGAGAAAGAAACTTATCAGCTTACAAAAAAATCAAAAGAACAATTCTTATTGTGGTCACTAAATAATAATTATAATTTATACACACACAAATATATATAAATCTAGGCATTTCCTTTGGAAGAACCAATGTGAAAGCTGTGGTAGACTCAGTGAAGATCTGATAGAATTTTTCCCTTGATCATGACAGTGGAGCATTCTCCACATAAGCTCGGATGCTCCATAGCCTCCTTGCCTATGTAATCAGACTGCCAGGGTTCAAATCCAACACAAGCATTGTGAGCATGTGCTGACACACCCTGAGCGTCAGTTTCTTTACCTGCAAAATGGAGATAATAAAATATCCTACATCAAGGGTTAAATGAAATTAAACAAGATAATTATATCTATGTCTGGAACATAATACATTTAGCATAATTATTATTTTTCCACCAAAACTCACAAGTAGTCAGTAGGTAGACGAATTTAGTTGATTTAAAACTCATTGCATTTCCCTAAGGTTCTTAGACCCTTCACTTGCCACAAGAATATCCACATACAAACAAATAGATCACAATGATCTGAGCAGCAGGAAAGCGTTGGATCACCGTGGGTTTGAGCTCTTCTTCTGCCACTTAATAGCTGTGTGATTTAGGAAAACTAACAATTATTTCATCCCACAAATTCCTCATGTTGAAAATGTGTTATTAATATCACTTCACAGGATTGCTTTGAAAATTAAACAAGGAGGTATATGCAAATGTATCTGGCATAGGGCATAGCCCATGGAGCCCAGGGATAGCTTTATTCTGAATCCCTGCAGTTACTTTTCCAATACACTCCTGAATGACTTCTCCATCTTCCAAATCTCTTCCCCTCATCCAAAATAAAGTAGGAAGTCAGGCTAATAGTAACTTTTTAAAAAACCACAACTCATCAGTTGTGTGTATTGTCCTGGTTTGGCTTTTCAGAGTCCAGAATGAAGAGGAAATGTAGGCAGGAGGCAGAAGATGAAGATTACTGAGGCAAGTGGGAGGATCTGTAACAGAATGAACAGGAGAGACTCAAGTAAGAAAAGACAAACAGCACATTCAGCAGAAGGGGAGGTTTAGGAAACAGCCCAGCTGAGTTTGTCAAGTCAACCTCACACCGTCTCCATTTTACAGAAAAACAAATTGTGGCTCAAAGGGTTAGGCAAGCTGCAGAGTTCATAGAGCTAATATGAGGTGGGCTTGAACCCACCTTTGTCTGACTGAACAGCCCATACTCTCAGCTGTCCACATCGTGGCCCCGATGATTGTCCTCACAGGGCACTGCGGTGAAGGGAGTGTCTCCAGGATCCTATGGAACACGATGCTAAGAGTCCACCTAGTGCCATCAAAGCTGGACAGCTCCAGAAAGAGGAGGCTCAGGTCCCAGGTGAAACCTGAAGCAGGATTGTTTTTTAGACATGTTAAATCCTGTTTGCAAAGATTAAATGTAGAAACATGAGGAAAACGATCTTACCGGTTGTTCCTCCTCAGTCTTCTTGGTAGATTCTCTCCCTTCCCCCCAACCTTTTGATGGTAGAAATTTCTAGGGTTTGGTTCTTAAGTGTCTTCTGCTCTTCATCTCCACTTACACTCTTAGCGATCTCATCCAGTCTCTTTGCCTTTACATAATGTCTATATGCCGATAATTTCCAAATTTATATCTTCAACCTGGACTTCTCCCCTGAATTGTTAACTCAGGTGTTAGATTATTCACTCAGTACCTTCACTTGCATGCCTAAGAGAAATCTCACAATTAACTCCAAATCTTCCCCATCTCAGGGTGAAGGAAACTCTGTATGTCCAGTTGTGTAAATGAATCTTGGCATCATCATTGGCCTCCCTTTCTCTCACACACCACATATAATCAATTAACCAGTTTCATTGAATCTACCCTCAAAATATACCGAGAATCCAATCACTTCTCACCACCTTTCCTGCTACCATGTGGTCTGAGCCACCAGTATCTCTTGCATGAACGACTACAAAAGATTGACCTGGTTCTACTCCTGCTCTCTTATCTCCTAAAATCTGTTCTCAATATAGTAGTCAGAGTCAAGAAACTTGTGAGGTCATGTTACTTCTCTGCTCAAAACTTGGCAGTGGCTGCCATCACACTCAGATAAAAGTAAAAGTCTATTCATCCACCTATAAAGCCCTACCTCAGCAGGTCCCCATTACTTCTCTGACCTCCTGTCCTGTGTCTCCCCCAGGATTGCTCTACTCTAGCCACCCTGGTCTTCTTGATGTTATTAGAACACTCCTGACATGCTCTTGTTTTATGGCTTCTGGCTCTTGTCTAACTGTCCTTCTGCCTGGAAATACCTTCAAATCTTCCCTCGAATCTCACTTTTTCAATGAGGCATGACTTGACCACCTCATTTACTGTTCCCACTTTGCCTCCCACTGTCATCTACTTTTCCCTGCTTTAATGTTTTCTATAAACTATATCATCTTTTAATGTAAAATCAAAAATTCTAATTTATCCTGTTTATTATTTATTGTCTGTCTCTTCTCACTAAAACACAAGATAAAGGAGGGCATGGAACTTACTTTGCTTTATTCATTGAGGCACCCAAATACCTAGAATACTAAATTGTAGGTACTCAATTAATATGTGTTGAATGGTCAACATTATATTTTATATGCCACACTTTCAAAAGTATTTAAGCCACCTCTCAGTCTTCTTAAGCTTATTGAATTTATGACCAATTTTAGGAAAAGAAGATAAGATGGTTTCCAAAATTTTATGCTAAACAAGAAAAAAGCCATGAAGACAGACACAATGAGAAAACTGAGGTGGAAAGAATAAACAAAAAGGCTGAGGCAAAAGGCAAAAGCAAAAACTAGAATCCAGGAAGAAAGGATAGACAAGTGTGAATAAGAAGCTAGGAGAGTAACTATAAAAAGAAATCTTAAATATGAGGTGAACATCATCAGGAAAATAAAATGCTATTGAGTTCAGGTTAAAAGTTAAATTAAACAAAATCTGGTTCAGTGCTCGGTTTAGTAGTCAAAAATAACTTTTATCATAAAAAAAATTCTTTTTCTTTTTCATTACTCATGATCATGAGAAAAATAGTTCTTTGTTCTATTTGATAGGAAGTTATACTCAGTGTTGAAACATTACTGATCTTATATTATTATTTAAAAGCTTCTTTAGACCCAATATCACAGTTATATTTACTCACATGTTTGCCATTCCCCATGCTCTTAATTTCTTTGCATAGATCTATATTTCCATATGATATTATTTCTTCTTTGTGAAGGATTTCCTTTAACATTTCTTGTACTGCAGGTCTGCTGGTAGTGAATTCTTTCACTTTTTCTGTATCTGAAAGACTTTTTATTTCAATTTCATTTTAAAAGGTACTTTCACCTAGTATAGAATTTCAGGTTGACAACTTTTTTCCCTTTTGGTACTTTAAAGACAGTGCTCCACTCTCCTCTTGCTTGCATTGTTTCAAACAATAAGTCTGATGTCATTCTTATCTTTGTTCCTCTATATGTAATGCGTCTTTTTTCCCCTTATGCTGCATTTAAGATGTTTCTCTTTATCACTAGTTTTAAGCAAATTCATTAATAGAAAGCCCATGAGTCAATAATTTTTTTTCTAAATTATACATTTTCTTCTTTTATTATTACATAGACTCGCTGAATTTTAATGTTGTAAGGGGTGTTAAAGGGCTACAAATTCAAGTTCTCCATTCTTATAGACTAGAAAACCCAGAGTAAAAGTCTGAGTGTTAATGCAATTAATAAATGTAAAGAAGACATGAGGAGAAATAAATCTGTAATGCAAAGATTAGATAGACAGACAGACAGAGATAGAGATATATGGTAAGTTTAAGATGTTGGAAGAATATCAATGTAAATTTTTCCAAGAGGCAGCTAGAAATTTTAAAATGAAATGAGGTCTGGGTCAGATGTATGGATTTGTTTTCATTTCCCCAGAGGTGAGAGTGGGAGATCCAACACAGATTACAAAAAATTAACCAAGAAAACCTACCGCCAGGAACAGAAAGTCCAAGAAGATGTCATAAATGTAGAAGAACAAGAGAATATAAAAATTGAGTGAAAAAGAAGTAGCAGCTAAAGAAAATGTTCCACAAAAGAGTGGGAGCTCTGAATACCTGTTGGAATCTTTCAGAGAGGAATAAGATAAATACTGAAAAGTAATAATAGAATTTGGTAACTGATGTTCATTAACGACCATCGAGATAATAGTTTTGTAGAAAGATGGGAGTACAAGTCTATTTTAAAGGGCTTCATAGAAAGTGGGAGATGATATCCCTCTATTTGTTTAGTAACACAAATATAATGCTTACTATTCTGCTATGAATTAAGTGCTTCGTAAATTTTAAGTCACTTAATCCATCTTCATAAGTATCATTATCATCTCAACATTTCAGATAAGGAATCTCAGGCACAGACCAAGTCAAGCACTTGTCCAAGGTCACACAGCTCACAGGGTAGAACCAGGATTCCCGCCTCCGTGGCCTTGCTCCAGAGCCCATATCTTAACCATTACTCTACACTGACTCTCTGTGGGACAAAGGAATCATAATAAGTCCTGTTTATTGTCTCATATCTTGGGGAAAAGCCTAATTAGAAGAGTTGGAAATTTGGGGAGAGGAGGACTGAATATCATCAGAAGGATTTTTTTTTGTCAGTTTCTGATCGATGTAAGATAAAAACGCCTAAACAGAAAATTCTATACTAATAATTAAGAATCCATAATGTTGCTTCCAGCCCAAACTTTTATGAACTGTATGACCTTGATAGATCTTAACCTCTCTGAGATTGAGTTTTCCCCTCGATTAAGTTAAGCTAATTCCTAACACTCAGGGTTATTCTGAGACCTAAATGTTGTAATATTCGTGAGAATGTCTTGTTGCAAGGAATACTCAAAAGTAAGGTATTTTATTATTAAAAATTGAAAGAGAATTCTCAAAAAAAAGAACACAGACATTGACATCCTTGATTGTCATAAGACTTACCATTTGGAAAAATGAGCATGATGGTGAAAAGTATAAACTGAAAAACAACAGGTGTCCAGTGGAATGCTCTAATTAAAAAAATAGAACTCATTTTCCCCTGTTTTTAGTTCATCATCCAGGTCAATCCAAATGTAGCCTAATATGATGCCAGGGAAAAAAACCCACATAAGTCCTGAGACATTCTAATTTCTTAATACATTTTAAGAATTAATTTTATCCATACTGTAGGAGATTGACAGAACTGGCAAAATCTTTTATTTTTCTTAACTCTGTTTTAAAATGTTTTTCAAGTTTAGACAGATATCACAATTAAGAACCTCTTCTAGTGTATTTTAGAAACAAAAACGTGTAAAGGATTATGTAAACACCCTTGATAATAAAATAACTCATCATTGGATTATAATAAATACTTGTCACTCATATCTTCAACCCAGAGCACAAAGTATTAAAAAAAAAATTTTAACAACAACAGTTTATACTTTTGAGTAATACGTACTATCTCCTAATAGTAAGATTATATGTGGGATTTTACGCTCTAGGAATTATTTGAAAATCGACCTTTGACCCATCATTTATAATTGGAAAGTGCCACATTTCAAAGTGATTATGAAAATGTCACATTAGCAGATATCAAGAGGAGGAGAAAATAATAAAATGTAATGCTCTGTTTACTTGTTTTGTTTTGTTTTGTTTTTTGCTGAAGAAGATTCTCTCTGAGCTAATATCTGTCCCCAATCTTCTTCTTTTTGCTTGAGGAAGATTCTCCCTGAGCTAACATCTGCTGCCAATCTTCCTCTCTTTTGTATGTGGGCCACTGCCACAGCATGGCCACTGATGAGTGCTGCTGGTCCATGCCTGGGAACAAAACCTGGGCCACCAAAGTAGAGCACACAGAACCTAACCACTAGGCCAGCAGAGCTGACCCTCTAGTTGACTTATTTTCGAAGCCTAGTTCATACTCTCTGTCTTCATCATTATTTTACCTGATAAAATGTTTTTATCCTTTTTCTCTGCAGAAAATTCTTCAACCAGTTCCCTGTCACTCTGTTAAGAGAGAATCAGCAGCTACAGTCAAAGTCCACTTCATGTTTTAGAAGTTCCTTTTCTATGTGAGAAGACTTCAAGTGCTGATGAGGCCTCACAGCTGATTCAAATCTTGTACATGTCTCCCACATGCAGGATGCAATCTACAATAGGGTGTAGGAGAAAGTGGACCCAGTAACAGGGCTGTAGAGACTTAATCATATTAACAGCTTCAACTTTTGGAATACCATACTATGTAACAGATATTGTGCTAAGTAGTTACAAGTAGGCCTCATTTGATCCTCACAATTGCCCTGCAAACTAGGTATTATTAAGCCCATCTTCCAAATTAGGAAATTAGGGCTCAATTATAAGCAGGATAATTAATAATTATACTTCAGTCAGGTCAGTCTGACCCTCCCAAACCTACCAATGAGTCAGCCTGTATGTCTATTGCAGCCTGTATAAAGTTACAGTTGATATCAGTAGCTGATTGTATCTGAGTAGAATTATCATAACATAATTACTTTATTTTTTGATTTAGTGATTGGCTAGACTTTAAAAACATGTTAGACCAGCAAGATGAGAGAGCAAAGAAGGTCTGTAGTGTGACTTGTATTTTTGTGAGTATTTTTGTTGTTGTGCCATTAACTATTATCGGTTTTTGTGCTACTTAAAAGGTAAGCAGAGTCCGGTGGTTTGTGGTGATTGTTATTGTTGCTATTGTTGTTATTTATAGACAGATTGTAGAAACTTGTTGAAGAGATGTAGTTAACTATTTTATCCAATTAAGAACTTATAAAAGCTCTGAGAAATCCAATTTGTTAGACATTAAGTGGTTCACAAGATTTAAGTTTCTTACCAATATAACAAGCCATCTGGACACTTTGAATCTTACATTACAGGAAAGAAACCAAGGTGAGGCTGGACTATCATTAAAGCCAGTCCAGGTCTTCAGATATATGCTGGACGCATGCATTGAGCAGGAGGCCACCATAGGCCATCTTTGTTTCCCCTTTACAGAAATGCTCCAAAGCAATCGTGGATTTTGAAAAATTGCAGAGCTGGTTAGCAGAGATGATGTCACAACTTCCAGGAAGATGCAAAGATTTTTGTAAGTAGTTCAATTACTTTTGCTGCCTCTGGAGCACAGGACTCCAAATGTTTCTCAACTATCATTACTCACCCTGCCTGTGGTTCAATGTCAACATGTCTACCAAGAAGACAGGGGGTCTCCAGGGACAGTAGTGATGGGTCTATGAATTCCAAGCGTCTCCTAAAAGATCTGACAATGTGGCCAAAGACTGGACAATTTTTAGTAACAATTAGCTCAAGTAAAGTGTTCTCTCCTTAATAAACCTTCAGTGATATAGATTTGGAGTCACATATGACATATACTCAAACACTCTCCCTAACCCCTGCAATTTTAAGACCAGAAATTCTAATAATACCAGTGAAGGTTCAATGACTACTTTTAGGGTTACACTGCTCACTTTTGTGCAAAAAGCTATTAAACACTTTAGAGTCTGTTTTTATAATTTTGCTAATCATCCATTTATTGAATAATTAACCGACTACCGTTAATCATACCATTATGATCAATTAAATATTATATGTATCACATATAGCTGGATTTCTCATTTTTAGCCCATTATTTTAAACAAATAAAAGCTTGGGCATCTCTAGAATACAGAGAGCTTCATCTTACTCCATCTTGCTCATGGTGACTCTTCAGTGGTAGTAACATAACAGTGGTCATAAGTCTAGAAAACTTGTTCTCAGAATTCCCATCCCCTATAAGCTGGTTTAATTTAGGCTACCTACTATGCCTCCCTGCCCTTTGATGTTACAAAAGTGTTTGCAATCAAGAGTAAAGCTGAAAGTAAAACAAACGTTAACAGTTTGCACTCAAAAGAGGAACAGTTGTTGAAGCCTCTGACTGTCAGCCAACAATGTCGTCAGCTGTGCCCAGAAAGAGATGCACCTGTTCTCGCGACAAGATCAAGAATTTAACAAGAAAACATGCTATGGTTACTATCATTATCATTAGTATTATTATTTCATATTTAAGAGAAATTTTACATACATTATCTCATTTTATTCTTGCTATAGGTCCAGAGAGGTGGATAATATTATTAACATTTTATAGAGGAAAACATCAGTCTTGGAGAGATAAAATGATTTACCCAAGGCCACTTGGCCAACAAGTTATGGAGCTGAGACCAGAATATCATTCTTCTTACCACCCTGTTGGTGAGTTTTAGGAAGAAAACAACTCCCTAATAAAGAATGAGGCAGGCGTTTGTTCATTGCTTCACTCTGCTCAGCCAGCCTGCTCTGGTTGGAGAGAAGGCTGGACCAGCGAATACTGAGAGAGGATTTCTGGAGCTCACTCAGTATGAGGAAAAGTCTAACTAGAGAGCTGATGGCTTGTCTTTGATTGGAGATTATATGATTTGTTAATAGGAGTTCCGTCACTCAAAGACCTTTGAAGTATCCTGAAAACTTAAGGAGAAATTATAAAAATAACAAAATAGCTTTTATAATATAGACTGCAAATAGAAAAAGTGACTTTGCAAACCCATACATGGGTATAAAGGGAATAATGCAGATTGGGAAGATTTTCAAAGACTGGATGCTCTGCATTCTCTCACATGAATGTGATTCTTATTTAAAGGCAAACATGGCTTCACGGGAACCATACATTCTTGCCCTGGGTTAATTAGCATGCCTTAGACAGAACGGTTCAAGTCCATGTTTTTCACATTAGACTTATCTCTCACCTGGACATCTCAATATCACACTGGATCTTTAAAAAAAAACATATTTGAAATCTCTTTGTTTAGGAAGATAATGAATCTTGCAAATCAGCCTGCTCATGGTGGAGAACATCCTGCAACCTAACAACCATCCCCTGGCTTCCAGTTCTTACTAATAAAAGGGATTTTGAACAGCAATGTCTTCATGGATATATTTTCCCCTCTTTCACAAAAGGCCTAGCCACACACATTGCACACAAACATTGAAAAATATCTGGAAGCCATTTAAAAGAATATATTGTTGTAGTCAATTGTTTGGATTGCTATCAAAATAAGTTGTTTTTATTTTTAACTTGGCTTCCCAAAGTCATGGTTTTTCACTTACTTGGTAATTTTCACTGCGTGCATACACAAGAGAGATACATTTGCAACCAAACTTCCCTCCTATTCACTAATTTTAAGATGTTCTTAGATAAACAGATTTTTAATGCTTTACTATTTTAGATAAATTCATTAGTTTTGGTCTCCAGCTAGCTGTTGTTTCATTACTTTGTTACATTTTTTCTCCTTACCACTCAGAAGTCATCAAACTTTTATTTCATAATTGAGCTTCTAAAAATTTTATCCAATTTACCCCTCCTTTTGATTTCTACTGTCTTAGGGATATAGTAGTCTATGTTATCATGCCAGCCATTTACTCCCATCCGAGTTAACTCTGCTCTGTTCATCATGACATCATTATCATCCCCTAATTAAAAACCAGGATATGCTGAGTGCACCCAGTTTTTCTTTAGAAATGAACGTTCTAATTCCCATAAAATCTTTATTGATAAAGGCAGCAAAAAAGACTAGCGGCAACGTAGCACAGGTAGTCAATTCTTTCTAATTAGAATATTTTCCGTGAAACGTCAACTTCTTAATGTTGCACCCTGCTGTTCTGGTTATTGTATAGTATTTAAAAATTGATAAATCATCACAATTAATTCAAGAAGTAAAACTTCAAATTTAAAAAAGAATCATCACTTCAAGAATACTAATGTTCTGGCAAGAACATGTTTAGACAAGGATGAAATGTATCTCTTCTCGTAGATCTTGACCAATGAGAAGGGTAGAATGATATTTCTAAGTGGCCAGTGAGTTACCTAAACAGGTACAAGTGTGGAGTAAATACAACACCATGAAGCTGAAAGTAAAATAAATGATCAGAGTTTGCTGAACCGTCTCCCCCTGAAGAATGATGCAGCGGTTCAGAACTGAAGTAGACGCTTGTGACCAGAGAGCTACAAGCCTGGCAAAATCTGATCATGCTTTCTGTCCATTCTGTTTCATGAAATTCTCAGGCTTCATACTTTTTATATGACAAACAGACCATGAAATAACCAGCAGCGATTTATGAGAGTTTCAGCACCCTGAGCGGAACTCGTTCTACCCCTGATTTCTCTCTAGGGTCTGAACAGGCAGGGGAGTGGGACATAATTGAGAACGCGGGTTTTGCGGTAGCAGCTGGACGAGAGCAGCTTCCATCTGATACACCACTCTGGGCTAAGCCACCTTCACGGAGGGGCCCTTCACTGTCAACTGTGTACACTCACACCAGAAGGGGAAAGCTTTTCTGGCCACGACAGAAGAGACCGAAGTTCTGTATGCAGGAAAGGTTCTGTCATTTAGACTTGGTCTCATATGTCAGCAGGGACTGGTGGCCAGCTGTGATGGACACAGATTAACAGAGTTTCAGGACGAGGGCCCACAGAGAGGCACTTCCATTACGCTTTTAGCCATGGTAAGATTTAACTTCATTCTTCTTTATTTGATAAAATATTAGGTTCTGTTCAAAGATATCCACAATTTAAAGATAAAGCTATCCCAATTGGAAAAGGGGCAGCTATCTTGTCTGATTAGTTCTAATTGCTAGTCACCTAGTATTCAATCCTTCATCAAATATTTATGGGACCCTACTGTGTGCCAGGCGCTAGTTCAGGCCCTGAGGATTCTGTGGTAAACACAACAAAATCATTACTCTTCTGAAGTCCATGTTATAGTGGTGGAGAGAGCCAAAAACAAATAAACCAGTAAATATGTACTATCTTGGGGATGTTAAGGTCTACAAAGAACCTGACAAGGTAATGGGATAAGAAGTGACCTTAGTCAGGGGCTGGGAGGAAGGGGGCAACTGGGAGTATCCAGTGAAGCCCTTTGTGTGCAGGTGACATAGCGCTGATATCTGATGAATGAGAAAACAGCAGCCCTGGGAAGATCTCCAGGTGCAGCTCCCAGTGGGTGATGCAGAGATCTTGAAGTAGGGCCAAATCAATGCTGTGGTGTTGACCACCTGCTCTATAAAATAGCCCATCAAATGTGTTACCAAGTTAAAACACACACACAGACACACAGTCCTGATAAGCTTTAATTTTAAAATCCACAGAAGACCAAGTTGCCTGAATCCAAAGTACACCAAATCCCTTCTTACAAATGGTCTCTTTCTTTCTGTTGGGTTTCCACAATTTCATATACAAAGAACACCTCTTAGTGATGTCCACGGAATTCATTGGTAGCTCCAGGAAGAACACCTTGTCTTGGGCTGACTGATAAAAAGGAGGAGGTTATGGCTTCTTCCTCTTGAACCATAAACAACCTGAGTTTTCTTACAATCTTGAGCTTCTGCAGAGTCTTCAACTGTCTTAACTCATACAACCCATCTCTGCTTGACAAGTATAAATGATGTTGAATGTTTGTCAACACCAAGGGCTTTCAGGCATAATGATGTATTATCTTCCTAATTTAAGAGGGCTTACAAACTTGAAAGAATTTTGAAGGTGAGAAACATCACACCAAAAATTTAAATGGATTCTAAGTTAAATTTTCAAGTTGAAAAATGTAATTTAAAAATTTTTAAGTATTTAATTTGGAATGTTTTTAATTTCTAATTGTAGAAGACCATTCAAAATTCAATTGTTTACAAAGCATGCATAACTACAGTGCCAACAGTGTGCTAGCCACTGCATACTAAATAAACAGAAAAGGGTGGCTTCTATAAGACCTTAAAATCTAATGGTGATAATGTTTGCAAACAGGAACCTGCATCACCAGTAAAATATTCTGGATAAAATTATCTCTACATTCAGTATTTTTTGCTTTCTTTTTGTGAAAGATACATTTTAAGAAGTAGCGTAGACTAAGCATTAAAGAGATGAAAGGCTGAATAAAATCTTCTATTTTTACTCAACGGCAGAGTAAAGGAAATAGATGTGACACAGATAAAGAAAGATGCTCTGAGGAAGATGTGTAATATAGATATTTCCTCCCTTTTTCCCATATAAGTATATTTCAATCGTCCAAGTTCAGGCACACAAACTTAAAAAGCTCTAATGCCTCAATACCTGGTGCATGGTAAGTACTTCGTAAATATTTATAGAATCACTGGAAGGGAGGGCATGAGGAAGACATTCGGTAAATAGTGCATGCATTCGAAACTGTGTATTGAGATGATCAGGATCCAGTAACACTCCTTACCCCAGTGGGTTCCAAATAAATTGAGAAGGAGACAGGCATCAGATGGGCATCAAAATATGAACCTCACGGGTGGTAAGACTGAATGGAGAACAGGCCTTAGCTCTGGTGCCAGTATGAGAGATAAACCTGGGACACACCTATGTGCCACTGGTCCACAGGGCAGACCCCCCTGAGCCAGCTGCATAGACAACTGATCTCTGCCTGTCTCTCGTTGCTGAGTCATGAGAGCAGGAACTGACAGAGGTAAGGCTAGAGCTGTTTCTAGAAGGCAGGATCTAGGCCAGGTCCCTATTTTCTACACCACATGGAAGGCAGCAAAAGAACTTAGCCAATGTGTGGACCAGAAAGGGAAACCCCCTGGAAAGTCAGAACTGCCTGATAGGGAGTAGGGAATATCATTCTGTCACCATATTACCCACCAATTGGGTGTATCAACCCTACTCATTTGGGAAGGACAAAGGAAAGAATGGAGAATTCAAAAGTGGCCTCATGGACACGATGGGACTAGGAAGATGGTTCCTCATACTACTGACTACATTACCAAGGAGCCCTTTTCTATTATCTGGATAAGTAAAAAAGATGAGGGTGGAGGGAGGGAAGAATATTCCTTCTTTTAGGTTCACAAGAAATCTCCTTGAGGTAGAAAGATAAGTACATCCATCTGATCAACTTTGGGAAAATGAGGAAAGGTATTTTAAATGACTCAACCTAAGGAAAAAATTGAGACATTTGAACAGATACACCACCAAAGAAGAGACATAGTTGAAAAGTAAACATCTGAAAAGATGTTTACTATTATTAATCATTAGGGAAATGCAAATTAAAACCTGATTAGATACCACTACACACACTAGAATGGCTAAAATTTAAAAACTAACAGTACCAAGTTTTGGCAAGAAGGTGGAGTAGTTTGAACTCTCATACACAGCTAGTAGGGATGCTAAATGGTGGGAATCAAAATGGTACAGCCGCTTTGAAGACAGTTTGGCAGTTTCTTACAAAACTAAACATACTCTTACCACACGATCCAACAATTGTGCTCCTTGGTATTTACACAAATGAGTTTCAACTTATGTCTGTGCAAAAACCTGCACACAGATGTTTACAGCAACTTTATTCATAATTGCCAAAACCTGGGAGCAACCAAACCTCCCTTCAGTAGATGAATGGATAAATAAACCGTGGACATCTAGATAATTGAATATTACTTAGTGCTAAACACAAATGAACTATCAAGTCATGAGAAGACACGAAAGAATCTTAATGCATATTACTAGGTGAAAGAAGGCAATCTGAAAAGACTACATACTGTATGATTTCAGCTATCTGACACTCTGGAAAAGGCAAAACTATGGAGAGAGTAAAAAGATCAGTGGTTGCCAGGGGTTGGAGGGAGAGAGGAATGAACAGGTGAAGCACAGAGGATTTTTAAGACAGTGAAACTATTTTGTATGATACCGTAATGATGGATACATGTCATTATATATTTATCCAAGCCCATAGAATGTACAACACCAAGAATGACCCCTAATGTAAACGATGGACTTTCGGTGACAATGATGTGTCAATGTAGGTTCGATTGTAACAAATGAACTGCTCTGGTGGGGGATGTTGATAATGAGGAGGCTGTGGGGGAGATGCGGTAAGAGGTACACGAGAACTCTCCATACTGCTCTAAAAAATAAAGTCTATTTAAAAAAATAAAGTGAATTTTACTGTATGTAAGTTACACCTTAATAAATCTGACTTTTAAAAAATGAGTCCTGAGTGTCTGCGACAACATTGTTCAAACCAACCAAGCCATCTTTTAAAACAAACTGGAATTTTTCAAGTTCATTGACAAAAATACCTCGTCCTCATCAGATGAGACACTAAGCTTGTTGCTCATGAGGAGAGAAGAGACAGTAGAATAAGTCAGAAGTGAGTTTAGAAAAATAAGCAAGCAAATAGACATTATCATTCTATACCTCAACTGTTAGATAAAGCCAGAGTACTTATTTTGACAAATATAGGGAAAATTGTATTTTACAGATAGTAATATGACATGGAGTTTATAGGTTTTGAAGTAGATTTTTCATGTGACGTTTTAAAAATAAATTGTATTCCTAACTTATATTTCTAAATTTGAATTGTCCTATTCTTACTAAGATTTTGTCCATTCATTCACAGTTTAATTCCTCATTTATCATTCTCTCTGCGGATTTTCTATATCCTTTCAGAATTCCCTGGTCCTTCTGTAAATATGCAACAGCCGGCAGTGATATGCTCAGAGTCTGTGTGGTTTGATGAATCTGTCCCCGGTTGTCACAGAATGCAGGTTCTTGTCATTAGAATTCATTTCTAGTGCAAAGTATAGAAACATGCTTTGTGTGAAAGGGCAACTTTTGAAAAGAATAGGTATTTCCCTATTTCATTCTTGGCATTCCATTAATTTAATACCTTTCTAATTAAATTTATTTAATAAAACTTGGAAACTTTGCATAATTTGGAATATTTACAGAAGAGAAGGATATAATTTGGTAGCTGCACCTAACCTATACGTGATTTACAAAAAACATTTGTTTGTTCTCAAAAGTGGCAGTATTCACAGAAATTCCTCCCCAGTGGAATGATGTTCAGAAATGGCCAGAATCTATATCATTAATGGATCATTTAGATTGTGTTCTTTCCAGGTGAATGTAATAGGGTGAGTGGTTGTGTATTTCAGGAAACCAGGGCAAAGCAGGTTAGATGAAACTCAGGAAACTAAAAAGGAATTAGGACAAATGTGTGTGTTTACATTTGAAAATAGATTGTTTCCAGCTGTTTTAAGATGATGTAAAACGGAAAGAATGATGAATTGGCAGATATCTGTGGTTGCAGCTGGACAAATGACCTGCCTGGTCTAAGACCCCGAGCGAGTTCATGGCAGGACCAGGATGAGGTCACGCCTGGGACGCCCAGCTCTTCTCCTGTATCATAGCTTCTCCTTAGTACTTTTTAAATTACTTTCCTTAAGAGTATTTTAAATCAAAATAGCATACTGATTTTTAACTTCTCTTAGAAACTTCAAACCAGGGGTCAGGAAGCTTTTTCTGTAGAGGCTGAAAAGCAAATATTTTAGACTTTGCAGTGAATTTTACTGGCCACACATGGTCTCTGTCACATAGTCTTCATTTGTTTTTCTTTATTTGTTTGTTTTACCGCTCTTTAAAAAATCTAAGAACCATTCTCAGCTTTTGGGCCACACAAAACAGGCTGTGGGCCATGGTTTAAACTACGCCAACCCTGCTTTAAATCATTATTTTAATGACTGTATAACCTAGAGCATCTCACTGAGGGCACTTTGCAGAGGTATTGCACCTTTTGGGGTCAATGACACCCCAGTGGTTTGGGGTTGTGGCTTTTTGATTGTGTGGTCAATCCAGTCACAAGACTTCCCTGTCTGTAGGACGGAAGCACATTTTTAGAGCCCCTGAAACCATGAGAAGGGTAAAGTGAAGTGAGAGAAAGCAGCATGATCCAAATAGAACAGGCCCAGATGGCTGCTTCTAACCTTATTTAACTCCATAACTAACAGCGGTTTGGAATTTGTTTCCCCACAAATGAACATACCGGTGGATCTCAAGAACTTTCTGAATATGTGAGCGTGCTGCGCATCAGGCAGGCTTCTATCTGGAACGCTGGAGAGCCTGGGTCAAGAGGCCAGACTGAGCACACTCTCCAGCCACCCCAAGTCCCCCCAAATAAGTGAAACAAACAAATCCACACAGTTGTCGTCACTTTCAGGAGCAGAGGCAGCTGATGTGAGGCTCCCCATGTTCCTGCACAAGACAATGAAGTGATTCAAGCCTATAGGAGAATGAAACCGTAGATGGTTAAGAAGACCAAAGAAAAATTAATATATTCACCTCACTTTGACAATTGTTCAATTCATTGCAATAGAGAAAAACAGCCTATCAGAAAAAAGACCCCATGCATAACATACAAATACAGTTGTAATAGTTACATTTACTGAGTGCTTGCTATATGGCAGTCACTGTTCTACACAATCAGTGTAATTATCATCCCCACTCTGCAGACGAGGAACCTGAGGCAGAAAGACAACTTGGCCTGTGTCACCCAAATGGTAAGGGGTCAAGTGGTAGTCAAGCCCTAACCATTGCTCCTACTGCCCACAGAAGCCACATGGCTGCAGAGGCTAGGATTTTGAGTAGTTAGAGGCATACATTGTTATTAAAAATGTTAACAATGTGATTAATAACTTGGCCATGGTTTAATACATTTGAATAATTCATAAAAGGAAAAAGATACTTAATTACTAAGATTATTTTTTGACCTATGAAACTCGGAATACCTTTCCCTGTCATCTAACAGTAACTACAAAATGCTATATTGAGTAGTCTTTAAAATAATTAATCAAAATCAATTAGATTTGTTAAGATTAATAAAATATAAGCAACAGAAGTAGAAATACAGGTGCTTTAACCCATCAGCATCTTAAAAACACTGAAATAATTCAAGTTGCAAAACCAGGCTAAAATATTAAAGAAATTTAAAATCCTAAGAGAAGAAGCATAACCTTAAAAAGTGCAAAGATCTTAGAGGACATGTTAAAAGGTAATTTCCCAAAATATATTATTTCTATTGTTACATTGAGAGTTTCAGGTTCTTTTATATAGCTTTTTAGAAATGTCAATTGTCTTGTACCACCTACGCTCACATGCCCTAGGGATAAAAACTATTGCTTAAAAAGACGACGTTTAACACCTTATGCTAAAGATGACATCACAGTAGAGTGTAAGTTGAAATGGCTTAAATTACTTTTCCTAAACATTTCATTGAGATTTTTCTTTTTAACTCTACGTGACACTTCTTTATTTGTGTCAGCTTTATAGAAAATATGTCTGTTTCCTCAATCACCCTACTTTATATAATATGACCTATCCAAAGATTTACAGGGAAAACCTAAGGCCAATATTTTAAATGCTAAAGATATATTCAGAGACATCAGACCTGTTGGATGGTTCACTTAAAGGAATATTAAGACAGAAAGTCAGATTTTACAAGACAGGTGTGATTTGAAAATATAAAGATTAAAGATGAAAGAGGGAATTCCACATCAGACTGAAGGAATGTACATAGCACAAGAAGAGAAGGATACATCACATTTCAGAAGGGCTGAGTTCTGTTTGGCTTCAGGATAAAACGTGTAGGAAGCTAGTTTGAGATCACTGAAGAGGGGGATGGGGCAAGATTGTGGAGTGCTTCTAATAAAAGATTAAGCAGCTGAGTGGGTATCCCATGGGAAACCTTGTCCCTCTGGGCAGTGGAGAGGTCAAGAGCACAGGAAGCTTTGACCTTCAGGGCCATGACAGCCAAGGCAGGACTTACTCTCCCTGGGCCTCGGCATCCTCATCTTTACTGCAGGCATCAGTATAATGCCAGCCCTGATGCCAGTTCCCCTACGGTAAACCCAGCACATATGGGGTTAAAACCAAAAGCACCCATCCCCTTTCCCTGCTTCTCTAAGTTACATTCATATGTAAATACTGGTTTTTTAAAACCTATGTATCCCTGAACTTCACAAGGCAGATAGAAGTTACAAATGGTTAAAAGCCCAGGTGGCCTCAGGCTGGGCTCACACTAAAGTTTTGGCTAATCACCAGTTCTTGAGGTTTGTTACAGGGAAACTGATATCCAGGGAATATCAAGAAGCTGAAGCTTCCCAGATCCCAACTCCTTGGCTTCCTGACACCAGAATCCACCCTCCACCATGGAGACTGACAACGGAGGACACCCACCTTTGATTCCCTTATCTTGCCTCCCTGCCAGCAGCCTCACAAGGCCAAACACAGGCTGGTGGGAGAGCGCCAACCAGCAAGGCCACAGACTCCCCCTCCCTGCAAGCAGCTGCAGTCCTCGCAACCTTTAAAACTCCTTGCCTCCCATCTTTTGGGGAGATGAGAAGAATTTGAGGGCTCACTCGCATCTCCCAGCTGACAACACCCGAAATAAAAACACTTTCCTTGCCACAAGCCTGGCGTTCCAGTTTTTATTTCGCCCCTCTTGTGTGGCGGGTAAAGAACCTGTGTGTGTGTCCAGTAACAAGTATATGCTTCTTGGATTATGTACTCAATGAGATAATTCAGACAAATCTTTTAGAACAGGACCTGGTGTATAATAATCTAAACGCCAAAAAGTGACCGAGTCCGCTGCGAGTCTATGATTAGTAAAATGTCCTTGCAGCACAAGTCAGAGCCCAGGCTGATGGAGCATGTGTCACACTGTGATTGAGAATCCTGGACCCTTCTAGAGAGCACTCCTCAACCCAACACCCTTTGCATTCTCTAGTGTAGGCCAGG